TCCCGCATCCCACTGACCCGCATCCCATTGATCTGGTAGGTGCTCTCCAGTTTTCTTTTTTCGTATTTTTCTGGTTGAACAGTTAATCATCAAGTCCTATGCCAATGTTTTTTTTTTTTGTAAACAAAATTAATAATACTGTTGCTGATTTTTGTTTCACATATTTTTTTCATCGTTTAATAATTGTTTATATTTGCCTAAAATTTGCATTGTGAATAATATTTTTAACTATGATTTGGCATACAATGAGATAACGCAAAAATATTCAATTTCCATTTCAATTATCAAGGGATTATGATTTAATTTTAGAATGACATTGCGTAATTCATTTTTTTTTTATTTTTGTTTATTTTCATCGCCCTCATCCATCACCCTTTCCCGATTCCTTTTATAATGTGAGCAATAAGATTCATTGCTTCTTTTTTTTCTACAGAATGAAATAAATTGAAATATGATTATATTCAAATTTTATCATTAAAAATTCTATGAAATAATTTCAACAAAAGATTTTTACATACAGCTACGAAATGTGTTATACAAAAAGCGAAATAATTTTAAATACTCATAACAAGAAAAAAATTTTTGAGTTTATTCATAATTTATTAAATCATTTAAATTATTGCATAAATAAAAGAAGAAATAACATTGACATTGACATTTCTAATTAAACGATCATTCTAATCTATTTTGAAAATTTCACTATTCGATTTATTGCATCAACATTTTTTTTCACTACTTTATCAGTACTAATTTATCAATTTATGCTTGAGAATTATAAGATACTGGTTTTAATGTGAGCAATAAAATTCATTGCTTCTTTTTTTTTTCTTTTGAAAACTGAATCGATAACAGAATGAAATAAATCGAATTATGATTATATGCAAATTTTATCATTAAAAATTCTATGAAATGGTTTTACAAAAAATATTTACGTACATCTGTGAAATATGTTATACAAAAGCGAAATAATTTTAAATACCCATAACGATATTTTACCAGTAAAATTAACATTAATAACCCTTTATCGTATCTTTTATTTTGAAATTGAACAGATAACAGACTAGAATAAATCTAATCTTTTTTACACACGAATTGAATAATTATCATTATTTAATTCGTGTATAAAATTTTTGGGAGTACTTCAGTTCTTTTCATAATACAATAACAATTAGCAATAGCATTTTGCTTATTGAAATTAGCATAAAATATCATCATGATTAATATACTTTGCATTTATAATAATTCCATTCCTTTCTTTTTGTATTTAAAAAAATTTTGAAATCAAAAACTTTTTGAATACTCTCTAAACTAATGATTATATTTAGATAGCCATTTAACAATGATTAATTAGAAGTTAATTAAATACATTGATTTTCTGACGATTAACAAAAAAAAAAATTCTTGCAATTTATTGCATAACATAAGCATCTCTTTAAAATTTTTTCCAATATAAAACTCTAAAAAATAAAAACATACTTTTTTTTGGTCGATTTCTTTTTTAACATAGTTGAAAATGAGAAAACAACTGTTCTCAGTGCACCTGTTTACCATTTCATTTTCCTTTCAACTTTTCCTGTCATCAGTTCGCAAGTTAAACTTTTAAAGTCCGGAAGAAAGAAAATAAGATTAAATTAAGTCAATATTCCTTGTGGCAGAAGCTAACCATACAGTTAGTTCAAATAGTCATAATCATTAGTTTAATTTAAAATAATCAAAATCATTCAAAAAAGAAAAAAGGAAAAAGGAAAAAGGAAAAGGAAAAATGCATCACTGAAATAATCAATCAGTATTAAAGTATTTATCATATCGATAATAATTTTGTTGGAAAAAAAGTGTATGCTATTTTTTTTTTCTTTTTCTAATTTTAATCCATGATTTAAAAAAAAATTTTTCTTCGTATATGCTATTTTTTTTCTTTTCTAATTAAACCCTGATTTTAAAAAAAATTTTATTAATAAGTGTTGTTAGGAAATTGCAAAAAAGACATTTCTTCTAAAAATTATTATTTTTAGTTTCATTGTTATTAAATTCTAATCAATCAACTGATATGATTGATTTTATTATTATTTATAGTGGTAGTAATATAGGGAAAATTTTGAAAATATAATATTTATTTCTCGCTAGCTATTAACCGATACTAAGAATATCTTACATTTAATAGGTAAGCTTAGAGAAAAAGAGAAAAAAGGTTTGAAGGATTAAATTATGTAATTAATTTGAATTAATACAAAACCCGGTAGTATTAGGTATATGACTGATTTTGAATAAGATAATCTTAACTATTATTATACAAAACCACAAGCAGATTTTGTCCATATTTTGTTGGCTGAAGTAAATAAAACTAAAAAAACTAATTATTATTATTCAATAAAAAACTAAAAAAATTTTAGACGAAATATTTTGTATGAATGGGAAAAATTTTCATGAAATTTCAAAAGAAAAATAACTTATTCCATGAAACACTAAAGGAAACCTATAACTTTTAATGATAATAATGATGATAATTGTGCATCACTAATTTGTATATTTTTTTAAAAAAATTAAAAGTGATATACGATCTGATCTTAATTTTAACAAAATTTAAAATTTACATGTACAAGAAAAATACAAAAAAAAAAAATTAAATATTATGGAGGAAATGAATGATTTCTTGTTTGATCATTCTTACATTCTTACTCCTTTTAAAAATTTGCCAATAAAAAGAAGGAATTATTTGGAGTGGTGTATTGATGATGTCATAATTGAAATTAAATGTTTTATATCTTATGAAATGAACAATTTCAAATAGGTCAACCAATATTTTTAATCCTTCTTTTGACTCTTTTGTACTTCCAATTCAGCAATTCGTCGTAATGCCTTTTTCAGTGATCGTTTGAGGATATCATTTTGCTCCTCACATGTGATTATTCGCCTTTCCAGGATAGCAACAATGATGAAGTATAAATCAACGGTATTCAGCTCACCCAATGATACCGCTTTCATCGGTTTAGTTTTTTCCGGATTATCGATATTATTTATGAGACGTTGCAATTGTGAATTACCATCCTGTGATATCTATAAAATTGATTTCATTTTATAAATTCAATAGAATTATTTGAAAAGATTATTCGCTTTTTTCTTTCTCGTTTTTTTATATTAAATGATAGAATTTAATGATTAATAAATCTAAATTTGTATTGCTAAAATTACAGATTACAAAAAAAAAGACGAAAAAGGAAGAAAAGAGCAATATATTATTTTATAAATCATTGTGATATGTTTTATTTTTTAAAATAATTAAATAGCAGTGAGAAGAAAAAAGTGAAAAAATTGCATGAATTTTCAATTCTTCAAATTTAAATTCAGAACAAAAATGGAAATTTCCTTTAAATTGTTTCAAATTTACGAATTGCTCAAATTTAATAATTGTACTTTTTAATGAATGCGTCAATTTAATTCCATTAATAAGTAGTTAAATAAGTTAGTTAAATAAGTAGGAAATAATTTGACAAACCTGTGATGATGATTTTTCCAACATTGCTTTGATATTTTGCATATAATCAATTTCGGATCCGGATGAAGTGGATGAAGTGGATGATCCATGGGGCGTTAATATCGAATTAGGCATATTTCGTCCGTTTGATAAACAAATTACAAAAAAAAGTTTTTGAAAAAATTTTCTAAAATAAATGAGTGAATAAGTGACAGTAAAAGGCAATTAATACAAAGAGGTAGAGGGAGAGAGAAATTGTTTATTGAATATTATCAATTTTAGCATAATGGATAATGGAAGAAAGGAATGGAAATGGAAACAGAAATGAAAAATGAAATGATTTTTAAAGTAAAGAGAGGTGCAAAGAGAACTGATTTAGCTTGAAATGCAAAAAGCACACTGAAATGTGTTGCTTGAACTACTGTTAAATACTTTAAAGTGATAAGTTTCGTTGAAATGAGTTGAGAAGAGAATTAAACTGAACAGCTGAAAAGAGAATGGGAAAAAAGAAGAAAGCAATTTGTTAAGTTATTTGTAACAAACAAACTGTTAGTTGAGAAGATCGATTTACAATAAGTATGATAAGAAATGATAAAAAGAGAAGAGTGATATCGATCGGTGTCAGATCATCTCATCACCTCTGATTAATTCATTTGGTCACTGTTAATTAGCAAATTGTTAATTAATTCATTTGGTTATTGCTAATTCATTTGATTATTGTTAATAATTGTTGCTAGATTGAAAGTGTTGTTTATGATTAGTTGGAGTGAAGTGATTGGGTTCATCACTAACTCGAATAAAATAATTTTAAATCATAGTACTTAAAAAAATTAACCTGTTTGAAGTTGTTAACAAACACATGTTGAAGCAAGTTCAAAAATTTTTAATTAAGAAAGCATGTAAAATATTTCTTTCATCATTTCAAATGAATAAATGTTGGAACTCTGAAAATGGGAGAAGGAGAGAGAGAGAGAGAGGGAGAGAGAGAGAGAGAGAGGGGAGAGAGGGGAGAGTTGATGTTATCAACAAATAATGAATGTTTTTGATGATTTTATTGTATTGAACTATGGATGATATCATTAGCATTTTTTAGTACACACTGCATATAAATTATTAAAATTTCCTTTTTTTTAAAAAAAGAAAAAATAATTAAAGTTGACAAGTAAGAAATAGAAGTAAAGTAAAAATAAATTTTTTATTTTCGTTTTCATTTCAAGTTGAACTGCTCTATTCATAACAAAAAACATATAAATGAATGGATGAAATTAAGCAATTATTAATCACATTTATTACAAAAAGACACATTTATAAATTGTTAATCATAGCAATGATAATAGATATGACGTATTAATTATTCCATGAATTAAAAATCTTATCACACTTCCATTTTTCCCCTCACATATAAAATGCCTGCAAGCAGGAAGCAAAAGCAGCAAAAAGAGATCGAAATTAACACTATAACCACCAATATTCTGCAAAACTTTCAAACGAATTTAAAGTTTTTTTAAAAATAATTGACACTGAAAAAACGAAAAAAAAGAGGAATAGTGTTATCTAATTGAAATAATACAAAAATAAACTTCAAAATTTCAAC